GTAAAAGGGAAAGAAGGGAACCCAGGGACGTGGGCAAAAGTGATTTGGGGGAAGGGTGGGGGGAGGTAGAAGGAGGGACAGGAGATGAAAGGTGACGGAAAAAATAAAATAAATAAAATAAAATAAAATAAGCCCTGGCCAGCATGGCTCTGTGGTTAGAGCGTCGGCTGGGACACTGAAGGGTCACAGGTTCGATTCTGGTCAAGGCCACGTACTTGGGTTGCAGGTTCCATCCCAGGTGCTGGTCGGGGAGCATGTGGGAGGCAACCAATGGATGTGTCTCTCTCACACCAATGTCTCCCTCTCCCTCCCTCTCTCCCCCTTCTGCTCTCTCTAAAAAGAAAACAATGGAAGAAATATCCTCAAGTGAAGATTAACAACAAAATTTCAAAATAAAAATAAATGCAAATTTAAAAACAGAAACTGAGGCTCCAAAATATTGGTGTTGGGGGGGGGGTCAGTCGGATGGTGGCATTGTTCTTACCTGCTGCTTGGACTCTGGGGAGCACTTCACCTCAACTTGCAGACACTACTGCTCCATTCTGTTGCTCCCAGAGGTAAAAGGCACAAGCGTGGGATGCCCTCCGAGAGTGGCCCCAAGGAGTTTCTGGCTCTCTCACTGCCCCTCTCAGGCCCCTTGGGAGTCATCAGCATCACCAGTGACCTGTCCCTTCCCATCTGTGCCCACTGCGGCGTCTGCTCCAGGCCAGCACATCTCAGCAGCGACTCAACTCACCGTCTCTACAGATTTCGGGGAGCTGTGTGCCCTGGGACCTCACTTCCCCCCCGGAAGGTCTAAGGAACTCCTTGATTTTCAGTTTAGGCAGGTCCTTCTTGCTGAAAAGGTGGGTGTAATGACTGCTAAGATCCTTCCATGTGGGAGCTGAAACCGGACAGCTGAGGATGTGTTTCTATTCCTGGGGTGTCCAGTTTTCTTTTTGTCTGAGTCTTCCCTCCATTCGTCTCCCTTCTCTCAACTAAACCGTAAAGAGAACAAAATAAACAGGTGGGCCAGGCTGGCGTGGCTCAGGGGCTGAGCATCGACCTATGAACCAGGAGGTCGCCGGTTCGATTCCCGGTCGGGGCACAGGCCNGGGCTGAGCATCGACCTATGAACCAGGAGGTCGCCAGTTCGATTCCCGGTCGGGGCACAGGCCCGGTTCCGGGCTCGATCCCCAGCAGGGGGCGTGCGGGAGGCGGCCGGTCAGTGACTCTCATCATTGATGTTTCTCTCTCTCTCCCTCTCCCTTCATCTCTCTCTAAAAATCAATAAAAACATATTTTAAAAAGAAAACCAGGTGGTACCTTCCACACAGCCCGGAAATCCCTTTGGCTAAGTAACCGAGTTGATTAGGTACCTTTAGAAAAAGCTTCCGTTCGGGGGCTCCCTGCAGACTCCACTCCCTCCACGCGCTCTGTGTGTCCTAATAAACAGGGCCCTTCGGGGGGCCCGGGAGCCATCTCGGCAGCTCGCTGCTGTAACCCGCCCGGCTGCTTTTCAATAACTCACGCGGAGGCCGGCAGGCTCGGTGCAGTGTGGCCTGCTTGCTCATAAATCGTACCTGTTTCATAGCAAAAACTGCAGCTCCCGCACCTGCTGGTCACTAGGGACCCATTTCTCAGTCCTGGACGAGCAGAACCTCCCGGTCCACCCCGCATGGTCCGGGTTCAAGAAGCAGATGGGAGGGAGGCGAGCGCCAGTGTCCTCAGGCTCCTTCCTGCCACCAATGTCCCCTCCCTGGGCCCCTCCCGCTCAGCTCTCCACCTCCTGGCCTCCCGTGGGCTGTGTCCTTGCTCCTCCCCGGGGCAGCTGCTCTCTTCACGTCCCCAGGAGCCCTCTCCGTGGCCGTCAGGTTGGAGCGAACGCTGGCCACCCGAGGTGAGTGTCACCGCGGGGTTCCCAAAGGGGACGTGGGGACAGTTGTCTCTATTCCTTGCTGCCTTTCTCCCGGAAACCAGAGAATCGGTGCTCGGAGCCCGTCAAATAGACACTCGTTCTACGGAGTTCAACACGGCCGCCTGCCCTCGGCCTCGCGCACCTAGCTGCTGCTTTGGGGTTTGTGTGTGTGTGTTTTTAAATTTATCTTTATTGTTGAAAGTAATATAAATGCCCCCTTTTCCCCCCACTGACCCCTTCTACCCC